GACCCGAAGCTTGTCATGACCCCAAGTCATAACATCAGTGATGAGGCGATTCTGCGCAGCCTTTGCAGTATATTCATAACATATATATATTTTTATTCATTTCACCTCAAGTAAGGCAGGAATGCCATTAGTGCGCAGGGGCTACAGAGAGTGAAAGTGAGACAAAAAATGAGTATATGGGGGATTGAGAAAATGATAAAAGATGAACGGGATACAAGAATATAGAAGATGGCGATTGACATTGCATTTACATTTTTGAAGATTGTAATTATCAGGGAAGCAAGTAAACGGAAGGGAGTTCCACAGGCTGGAAGTGCGAGAAAAGAAACTGCTGAATTAGTATTGACGGTTACATTAAACTTTCTTAACAGTAAAAGATGCAAATCTAGTAGCACACTTAAATGTAGTCGGGGCGCCAGGAAAAAAAAACTCGTCAGAACAGTTGCCATGAAAATATTTGTAGAAAAGACAGAGGGAAGCCACATCACGTCAAGTGGGAAAGTGACTGAAGTCCAGATGCCAAGTCAGGATCGATTATATTTTAGATCTTTCTTTGGATTTTGTCAAGAGCGTCGAGATGAATAGCATGAGCCCCTGATCAGATATGGCAACAGACGAATAGTAAATGTACAGATGAATAGTAAATTTGTTAATGTGCAAGAAAGACTCTGACGAGAAAAGCTTTCTGGTACGACACAGTGACCCAACTTTCATTACAATCGTTGAAAAACTAAGGCCAAAAAGATGCAGCATATTGCCCTCTAGGAGTCTAGCAGCAGTCATGCTGATGATGAGCTAGAAAGTTTATCTATGGTGGCTAAATAACATCAGTTTCGTTTTGGAGGCATTGAAATTTACTGTCCCCGTTAACTACTGATTGGAGGTATTTCATGGGTAGCAGCCAGGTTAACTTTGTCAGCATAGACGGGGTAGACGGGGATAGACGGTGTGTCTATTGAGACAGGAGTAAATGGTAGTGACATTTGCATTAAAGCCTACTTGGGAACCGATGATATCAGGAAGATCATTGATGACGATTTGAAAGAGAAAAGGATAGAACCTTGAGGGACATTTGAAAATTATTTCTTTAATTTATTAATTCTGTTTATTTTATTTGTTTATTTAAGATCCGCTCAGCATAGTTGCTGTATGAAGCACAGGTTGAACAAACGCACATGTGTCTGAGCACTTATCTACGACAGAAATTGGCTAGCCGTCCTACCAATGATAGAGGCCGGCCTTTATTCGTAATAGAAGGTGCAATAATACAAGTATAAATAAATAGTATAATAATTATGCTCGTATCAATAGTTGCAGTATTAGAATTGCAAGCATAGTATAAAAGCAGTAGCAGCTACTACTTAGAATAGTAGCAGTAGCAATAACGGTATCAGTAGTAATAGATTTGGCATTATTATTATTATTATTATTATTATTATGACTGGTGTAATCGGTGTTTTATTTTTGTTATTGTAGAGACAGCAGGATTTTTCATGACAAGAGGAAGTAAAAAGAAGTAAGCCCCAAAAGGAAAGGCGTCATCCATTGTTTGTTCGCTTTGGAAACTTTTGTTCGCTTCGTCCTCAAAAGAAATCAGAAAACATATTTAGAAATGCTCACTACTCGAGGCAAAGTCCATTCAGAACATCTTGTTCATATGTTCATATATATATATATGTTATATATATATATATATATATATGTTATATATATATATATATGTGTGTGTGTGTGTGTGTGTGTGTGTGTGTGTGTGTGAATATTCATATATATATATATATATATATATATGCATGCACCTCGGTGTGGTGCAATATTTAGCAAGCGTTGTCTCGCTAAAATAGTTACGACGGAATAGTGAGCTCGATCCTTATTGGGACCACCATACTTTCTGCCTTATGCCATATCTAAGCTACACTTAGAAAATCAATATATGTATGTATACATGTGTATGTGTGTCTACGTGCGCGCAAATATATTTATGCAGTTTCTCTCTTCTTTTAATATACACACTTTTCTCTCGTTGGAACTACTAAAACCTCTTCACTTTTATATATATATATATATATATATATATATATATATATATATATATAATGAGTATATACATATAATTATAAATATATATATATATGTGTGTGTGTGTGTGTGTGTGCAATTTATGTATATTATATATGCGCGGCACTTATTGGAAAGCGCTCAATATCAATGATATATCTAACATAATTAGTAGGATTGATGTCAGTTTATGGTTTGACTTTCACGCTATTTGCGATCGTCAGACAAACTCTTTGTCTGACGATCACAAATAACGTGAAACAAACCTTTGTTTGACGATAGCAAATAGCGTGAAACCCAGGGTAACAAACTCACACCAATCAAACTATATATATATATATATATATATATATATATATATAGAGAGAGAGAGAGAGAGAGAGAGAGACTGAGAGAGAGAGAGAGATGTAATGGGAGATATACAGATTGCGATGGATACATTATCGTCTAAATTACTTAAAAGTTAAAATAACAGATATATTTACCAAAATTACACAAAAATATCTTGTAATACTAAAGAGTAAATTTTTTTCAATGACATCGAAGCTCCCCCCCCCCACCGGCCTCCGTGAGGAGTTGATGAATGCTGCCAGGAGTCTTGCTTTCAATTCATCTTTGCAGTCTAGGGAGTTAGGTGACCAGATGTAAGGGGTGATGTGGTCACAGACATTTTCTGACAGCCATGACTGGGTTCTCCTGCTTTTATGGCATGTTACAGCATCCTGTTGCTAGACATAGTCTCTTCTAGAAGCCACCCTCTTCACCCAGGATAACACTACATCCTGAACGAGATGAACGGAGGCATAACGTCGCCATCACTAGTGATCACCCTAAACACCTTCGTAATCACCATTAGACTCATTCAATTCTATCCCAATCCTCTACACTCTCCTCAGATTGACTCCCACAAAACTCTGAAATATTTGTATTGGAGCTTCCGTCTTGAACAATGCAGCATGGCGTTTCCAAATGCCTATATACGTTTTGTATTTTCGATTATTATTGATGTGAAGATTCTGACAACTCGGCAAAATACACATAACTAGATAACATGCTCTTTCCCAGAAACTGTAACTAAGGTCTGCTCAGCATAGTTGTAGTACAAACCACAGGTTGACTCTGTGGGTGTTGAACAAACATAAATTTGCCTGAACGAGCGTCTGCAGTAGGAACTGGCTAGGTGCCCTAGTAGACGGGTATATTCGCATACGAATGGCCAACTATATATATATATATATATATATATATATATATATATATATATATATATATATATATATATAATATATTAAAAAAACAGACCACTTTAAGGTTCCATTATAATAATTTATTTCACCAGAGCCCTTTTAAAGGACGCTGGATCATCAGATAGCACATCCAAAAGATGAAACGAAAAATGATGGGTAGTGTAAGTTTTTTTAATTTAACAGAGAGGGTAATGAGGTGTGCTTTGAGAGAAATGGTCAAGTTTAGAGAGGGTTTATTTTAATATTTCTTTCAATCATACTTAGTATTGGGGGGGGAGGGACCAGACCTTGACCTATTTAATCGGATAACTTAACGGAAGTGATATATTTAAATGGGAGGAGGGAAGAGAGAAAAAGAAAAAAGAAAGAAGGGTGAAGTAAAGAGAAAGAGGCTGTAAATAGGTTTTACATAGGAAGGAGAGGGGTGGTATAGTTTTAGCAATTTATGTAAAAAATAAATTTTATATATATATATTATAATTAAGTAATTCATCGAGTCCAGAAAAAACTTCAACAGAATGCAGAAAGCACTGAATGGCTGTTTCGTCCTATATTTGGGACTCATCAGCAGTGCACATCCACTACCGAGAATTGAAACCCGGACAGTTACGTTATCAGGCAAACGTCATACCAACTGATCCAACGGTGACGAAGAGGTAGCGAATCAGACTCGATATAGCGCCGCTCGATCACATATTCCGTGGTGGAACTCATCGGAGTTTCTCATTTACCCATTGGACTGTGCACCCACAAGCCAAGATTACTATCCCCAAACCGCTCCATCCAGAGCATTAGAAGCCGGTTCAAGCAATAATATGCAAGTGATAGAAATTAGAATGATTTGAGATAATTATAATTAAGTAATTCATCGAGTCTAGAATATATATATATATATATATATATATATATATATATATATATATATATATATATATATATATATATATATATATATATATATATATATCAGAGATAGAACGTGTGTAAATATCAAATTGAACATTGAAGTCAACACTTAGAGGCGACAGGTTGTTTCTTCAGGCCTGATGATTGTGTCTAGCATGAAACAGACTGTTGCTTCTAAGTGTTGACATCAATGTTCAGTTATATATATATATATATATATATATATGTGTGTGTGTGTGTGTGTGTGTGTGTGTGTGTGTGTGCGTGCGTGTGTGTGCATGTGTGTTGTTGTTGTTGAAAATTTTCGATATCCATGATAAAAGCTTAATCAATCTGTGATAATGCACTTAATAAACAACGTGAACATAGGCATCAACACTGCAAGTTGCCTGTCAGTTTTATGCCTAAAGCAATCTTCAAACTATTTGTTATTAGCCATAGCACAGATTCTAGCAACAGGCCTCGGAGTATATGCCCTTTCAATTTTTGTTTTGTTTTTGTTTATAGCTTACATTTTAATCGTTTATTTGTTTATTACCATTATTTTTATTTTATTTCCGTTATTCTTTGCATAAATAAGTAACCGCAAATATTAGCCTTAAAGAAAGGGACAGATCAATTTATTGATGTGTGTGTATGTGTGCCTCCCTGTGAGTGTTTCTGTGTATGTGTCTGCGTGCTTCGCCTGCACAAAGAAAAACTGAATGCTTTCACGGCTAAATGATCACCAGACTTTGATTTCGTTTGTCCACACAGTTTAGAGCTTCAAACTCCTCTATAGCCGAGGATTACGACCAAATCACGTTCAGACACCGGTTCTCGTACGATCAATGTAGTTAAGCAACGTCGGGCCTAGTTAATAGCTAGATGGGTGACCGCTTGAGAATACCAGATACTGAAAGCTTTGATGCGCGGGTGGTGTAATGAATAACTGCTCGGAAGTGGAAATCAGAGAGTCGATTTCTAATTCCAGTCTTGTTCATTATATTCACTTAGATGCAGATACCATTTAGAAAGGTATGAACCCATCTCATCACCCCCAACTATGGGTTAATTAGTAGAATATGTATCAGTAAATCATTATTATCTCCTTCAAAAATTCTTACAATCTAAAAATAATTACTGGCTTTAAATAACCTGCAAATATTGACAAGCCTTAAAAAAAAAATCAATCTATTTTCGATACGGAACATTTCTTAAATATAGCAACTTTTGGAAAAGAGAATTGAATGGTTTCCGGTTGATGTCAGAAAAAGAATTGGAAGTTTGAAGTATTCTTCTCCGAGACAGGTTGGTATTCAAGGCTAGATGGCTCAGTCTACCTTGTTATCTCCCACCCCATTTTAGTGCGAAAATCAACGGAAATAACTCGGCTGGCGTTTGAACTCGGCTCGTCGATTTTACTTTTAACGCGTGTGTGTTGGTAAATATCAGATATAATATTCAGGTAAATAAAAGTATATGCTAACGTACATTTATATATATATTATATATATATATATATATATATATATATATATATATATATATATATATATATAAGATGGCATATATCTTCTGGCGTATGAGGCCGTCTGTCGCGGATACGGCTACATACGTGGATGTGCGGACATTAACTGGGCGTCGATTTCTTTGCCTGCCTCCTATCGCCGTCACCATAACCACCCACTTTCCCAGCTTCAATTCCGGATGACATGAGCGGTGCCTACTGATGCGCATCAAATCATACAACGGCTTCAATATCAAAGGGCCAGTGTAAGGCCTGCAAGCATTGTATGACCCGTGCTGCCGGCACACGGAGGGCCGGTATGCATTCGCTTATTAAACCGCCAACACTTTTGTTTCTTTAGAGGCCCGCCAGTCTCGCTTTACGCTTTTTCTTTCGACCTTTCCACTCACTCTCTTTCGTTCACTTTAGCTTGCGTATCTTGTCTCTTTTCGTTCTTTTCCAAATTGTTTCTCTAGCTATCAATCTCTCCTATTCAATACGAGTAAACACACACACACGCACGCATGCGCGCGCGCACGCGCAAAAACAAATATATTGTTGAATACGCGACCGAAGATCTAAGAATGCCTCCTATTTTCTGGTGCCATGCGAAAAAGAATGCAAAGAAAACGTTTCATAAACAACAAGCCCCGATAAAATCACCACCCAATAAACCAAACACTTATATGAATGTGAATAATATGTTTTTCGGCAGCAGTTCTGCGATTATAAATGTTTGGTTAAACACCACACTCAATTTAAACACACACAAACATAGATAGATAGATAGATAGATAGATAGATAGATAGATAGATAGATAAAAAAAAAACCCTACCTACCAAGGTTTCACCTATCGGATCTTCAGGGTATTACCTGAACCAACCTAACAAGTTTTCACCTAACGGATCTTTTTCACACCACCAGAGTATGGCTTTTAAAATAATAGATAGATAGATAGATATAAGTTTCAATATAAACCAGGTAACGTGATTTTAGCAGCTGTATATGCGTGCGATAGGTGCATATATAGATAAGCAAATAAATATTTAATTCGTGATGCAAACAAAACAGTGCTCGGTGTAGTTAAACAGAGCTATAAAGGATATATTAATAAATACACATATACCTATATTTGTAGTGCAACTAAAACTTTCATGGTTTCCCAAATTGTCAGGCACAAATGCCAAATGAGCCACTTAATGCAGTTATATATATATATATATATATATATATATATATACTATTTACATTATTCGGACTATTGTCCTAATCTTTGTTGTCATATTTATCACAACGGCCTTCTTTATGTGGTTGGAAAGTCGAACTGAACTCTTTATTTCACACACTGGGATAGGCTGTTCTAGTGGATATCAATTATCAGTTATCTCCTGTTAATTTCCCTCTGAAAGTTCTCCACTGCGTTAACCTGGTATTGAACTCACACTCATTGCGTCCTGTCACTGGATCTAACTAACGCCTTTATCCACTGTGCCACTTGAGGACATCTGTGTATGAATTTCTGGATAATATAAATTAATGTCTTCAGCAACCATTTTTACCAGTGCTCATATTGCAATTTTTGCTGTCATCATTTATGTTTTTACCAGAGCTCATATTGAAATTACTGATAACTGACATCCATTTGACATGACACATGGAACTCGAACAGTTTACCCCAGTGAGCGAAATAAAGGGTTCACCATTCCAACCACCTGAAACGTTGTGATAAATATGGGAACAAAGATGAGGACAATAGTCCGAATAATGTAATGTATATAATACCTCATCACAGAAATATATATATATATATATATATATATATATATATATATATATATATATATATATATGTACTCTCGACTCTCTCTCCGCCGAATTCGACGTATGAGGATCGAGCAGATCAGGTCCTAGGAAACCGAGAGCCCGACACCAGCACATGAGATTTGATTATAGTGGTGAAGGTTTCGTGCAGAACAATCCACACTTTTTTGAAGGGCCGAATACAGAGACTTGGTGCACTTCGTGTCACAAGGTCCCCAAACAACCCACCGCAGGTTTTGAATTCAGAGTTGTCCTTCTCCTAGACCAGTTGCCATCCAAGGCTATAGACGCCAGTCTGTCCTGCTATTTATGCATAGCTGGAGGTAGAAGAGGATTCCCAAGGGTATTAGCACGTAAGTGAATGGATTCGACCCGGCTCTCCGATTCCTCAATCCAAGCCGCTATCCATTACCCCACCGTGCCTCCTATATATATATATATATATATATATATATATATATATATATATATATATATATATATATATATATATATATAATATTAGTGGTAAATATACACATACATATGCGAAATATATAAATGTATATACATACATACATACACATACATATATATTTGTATAAAAGAAATCCCCAAGAGGATAGAATCTAGGTAGAACTCAATATCCAGGACAGAGTAAGGATATAATAAAAGGCTTAAACATTAATATTCCATGGTCATAATTTATTTTTTATATATATATATATATATATATATATATATATATATATATATATATATATATATATATATATATTGGGTGAGTGCATACAACGTTCGATGATGAGACCTGAGTTCGAAACTCACCATGATCGATATGACAGGAAGCAGCACCTTTCGGGCATTTCTGAAATCCATATCACGGTTTCATCCAAGCCTTGTGAAGGAAATTGTTTAGCCATAAACTGACGATGTTACCAAGTCATCGTGACCGAGGGTTTGAGTGTACTGACCTTGTACCTGACAGATTATGCGTTCTCTTTCTGAAACTGTAAGTAAAGTCAGCTCAGCATAGTTGCAATATAAACCCCCGTAGGGACCTGTGTCAGTGTCTGCAACAGGGATTGACTCGTCTCCGTAACAAATGGCTGTACTCGGAAAATAAACTGAGTCGACGGTTATGTATGTAATATTAATTTTATTTTATGTACCTGAAAAATCTGGGTTACATATTTTTAAATATTATATTCAAAGGTTTTAAGATTTAATGTTTTCTGTCGTATTCATTATCATAATCATTGAGATGATTGTGTGTGTGTGTTTTTAATGTTTTTTAGTCATGACATTTGGTCTTTCTGTTTGATCAAAATGACATTCTCCTAATTTATAATATGACACTTTTGACTTATTCCAAAATTTTAGTTTATTTTACACTGAAACGTAAAAAAAAAATAAATCTATGTAAGCGATTCATCAGGTTGGGTACAAAGATTTTGACGCGTGGAAGCGTGATTCTGGGATGCAATATTGGTTTCTATGTTACTACTATTTCCATCTTTCCATCTATCTATCTATCTATCTATCTATCTAACCTAATCTTTTCATATCTATCTATCTATCTAACCTAGTCCTTTCATATCTATCTATCTATCTATCTATCTAACCTAGTCTTTTCATATCTATCTATCTATTTATCTATCTAACCTAGTTTTTTCATATCTATCTATCTATTTATCTATCTAACCTAGTATTTTCACATCTATCTATCTAACCTAGTTTTTTCATATCTATCTATCTATCTAACCTAATATTTTCATATCTATCTATCCATCTAACCTAGTCCTTTCATATCTATCTATCTATCTATCTATCTATCTATCTATCTATCTATCTATCTATCTAACCTAGTTTTTTTTCATATCTATCTATCTATCTATCTATCTATCTATCTATCTATCTATCTAACCTAGTCTTTTCATATCTATTTATCTATCTAACCTAGTTTTTTCATATCTATCTATCTATCTATCTATCTATCTATCTATCTATCTATCTATCTATCTTACCTAGTTTTTTTCATATCTATCTATCTATCTATCTATCTATCTATCTATCTAACCTAGTTTTTTTCATATTTATCTATCTATCTATCTATCTATCTAGCCTAGAATATCAAGATTAAGAAAATACATTGTAAAACCGTTTAAACTTCTTAACTACCCACATCATTTCATCATCAACACTAGAAAACGATCATACAAGACTATCTATCTATCTATCTATCTATCTATCTATCTATCTATCTATCTATCTACCCCACACACACACACACACACATATATATATATATATATATATATATATATATATATATATATACCCATCCAGGGATCGTCCTGGGTATAACAATAAACTACATCCGCGTCCTGGGTAAGACGATACACTACTTCCAACAGCAAGGCCTCTGATCAGGAGGTTATGAAGAGCGGGGATCCACCTTTTAATTGCTGGTGTTCCCAGGTCCACCCTGACCCGGGATGGTAGCACCTGTTAGAGTCCCAGCTATAGGCAAATAGTTAACCCCGAAACTGGGGTAAAAATGGGGTTTAATACCAGGAATACTTTGTAAAGAAAAAAATTATTACCAGC